TTTGCAGGGCTCGGTGCTTGCCTGTGGTGTTTGGACGAGGAGGGTGCAGCACTCCCCCCCCGCGTCGCCCGCGGTTATCTCCCTTCTCCCGCGAACGGTGCTTACTCGCGTGGTTTTTACGAATCTCTCTGCTCCTCCAGCTTCGTGGGCCACGTTTTCCGCGACGGTGGTTACCAGGTGCAGTTTGCCGCTTTGCATTGCTGCCGCGGGGACAAGGTCCACATACACCTCTCGCCACTACCACCGTCTGTGCATCCTCACCGCCACGCTGAGCCAGCGCGGCGGTGTGTGCGTCTCACGCTAATGTTTCCCTTTTTTGCGTCGTTTCTCTCCACTGCTGCGTCTTGCCCCCCGGTCTGTCGCAACGAAAACGGACTATCTTTTTTTGGGACGTAACGCGGACGGGACGGATGGACGATCGAGGGCGAGACGGCCGCGGAGGGTGAAGACAAGTTTTTCTTCAACACGGTGGCGTTCACAACCCCAGGGAAGCACAAGGCAAGCGTCAGAATATTTTTGGGATGGACACACATGAACAGCAGTCAGTCATCCTGGTGACCGAGGTAGTAACAACGAAGTGGTAACACCGTAAACTTGGTAATAGTAGATTGGCGTTCGATTTTCTCCCTGGATCGAACATGTCTCCCCAGTCTGCGGCGGAAAATCGTGAAGTCAACTTTCCACGGCCGACGAGGGAAAGGGGTGGTTAAGCCGTTCTCGCGGCATAACCATTGAAAGCACCGCAGGAGGAAAGGTGGAGCATAATAAAAACTATTGTTACCTGCTGCGCGACCTTCGCCTGTGTGACCTTCCCCTGTGTGACCCCGGCTGTACGCCAACCTATTCACCGCAAGGTGTGTGTGTCAGTGTTGGAGAGATTGGATTCGAACACAAACGCCTTCGATCGATCTTGTGTTTTTTTTTCGTCCAGGCCTCGATCTTGATAAATCGGTAAAATAGTTCCAAAAGGGCAACATGCGATGTCGACCTTCATCACGATCAATCTCAACCAATATCTGTCGAAAATCGCGATCACGCCGGTTTCGACAAGGAAAAGGGTCCTCAGATGGACTTAGTGGGGGGGGAGAAGATCGAAAGTATTCGAGACGAAAATATTCGAGAAAAACAAGGCGATTCAATGTCGAGATTGGTCGATTAAACGGGAAGACTGTTTCAACCAACCAAGTCAGTCTCCATCACCGGTGTGTATGCTGGCGCCAGTGAAGATGGCACGAACAGACCCGCATCGAAAGTATGCATACGTCCGAGTCGAACAGCCGTATGCATCCAGGGGGGTGCGGACGACCCGTCACCAGATGCCTGCCCTCCGCCCCCTCGGCTCCCTCTCAGAAAAATAACTCTTGTAGCTACCACTCGCTGTATAGTCTTGTGTCATCGAGTGCTGCATCCGTCCGATATACTAGAGTTGATAGAGAGTCGTCGGTTGCTTCGCTGGGTCTAGATTTCTTCCCGGATATCTCACTAGTCGTTTACCCGGTCACCTTTTGACCCCCCGGTCGTGCTCGAGTTGGTCACCTGAGTTCGACCGAAACACTACTACTCCCCTATTCGCTTTCGCACGAGGTTGCATCATCCCCCCGAGAAAACGGCAATAACGAACTACGTCTGTCTAAGGCCTGCTCTCGGTCATGTATGCTCCTTCACCACCTCGCTTTGCACTACTCGCCGCCTCTTGTCTGTGGACCCTAATCGACTGCTGGTACCACAGCAGTAACACGCGCGTTTGTACCCTCCCGCCGTACGTACTGCTGTGTTTAAATAGTGCGTCGTCACAGTGCAGAACCCGAGCACGATCAACACGGCGGCGGCAAGGACATCCGTCCCCGAGCATGCGACCGCCGCCGCCGCTGGTGGCCATGGCGGCGTGGCGACATCCGATTCCACCACCTCGTACTCTGCCGTCGCCGCCACCACCAGCACCGCCGGCGAGATCTTCGAGTACGAGTTCGCGGTGACGGTCAAGTACGTGCGCCGAGAGATCCGGGCCCTGACGGATCGAGACAGGGAGACTTTTTTCAACGCGGTGTCCGTGCTGCAGCGGGTGCCGAGCGCCGTCGGCCGTGCGGTGTACGGCGACAAGTACTACAGCAAGGACTACTTCAACCGGATGCACCTGTACTACGGTGAGGAAATCGTCCATCTACCGAACGAAGAAGGCGATGATGCAAAATGCACGATTGTTACGGTTAAATTTCCCGGTTATCATCTTGCCGAAGAGAAAGTGCTGAAATCACAGTGGTGGTGTAAGGGTGCCAAGGTGAGGTACATGCAAGGGTTTGATTTCTCGTCAGGATATTTCCAGCTAACGTGATATGTGTCGATGAGTGTGTATTCGGATGAGATATCCGCAAAACGAAGGTATTTTGACACAGACATCTGATTATTATTGAAACAACGTTTGTAGGAAGGAGCCGGACAATGCAAAAACATCGACGTTTTTCTCGAGCACGCAAAGGTCGCGTGGGTGTGTTGTGGATCTCTGCACTACCGTTCGATGGAAACCATTCCCGGTCGTGTCACCAATTCCATGGGAGCGTACACCACAATCGTACAATAGTGGCCGGTTCCGTGTGTGTGTTTTCAGTCGTGTCATGAGATCAAGAATGGTAGGGAAAATATTGGGGAAGGCCCACACACAGCTGTCTGTATACTACCCGCGTCGGGTGGGCGAGAGGCGCGTGGGGCAAGTTTCCACCCCCCGACCGACAGATGATTGGACGCAAGGCAAATAGTACTAAATAGAATCTCGGGGTGTTTGCCAGAACAGGATTATCTCGGGGTATTGTCCTCCAAGCCGCGACGTCACCCCTGAACACGCGATAATGGTTTACGGAGAAGCTGGGGGAGGGGGGGGGGACCATTGACCACGCGTCCTCGAGAGGACGGAGCATTGTTCCCACAGGACCGATCACCGATGGCCAATCGTTCCTTTCTACTTCGCCAAAGGTGGCTCAAAAACGCCTTCCCTAGTCTGTCTATCCTAACGATATCATTTCCCCCCTTTATAACCCACCTCCTATGCCCCAGTACAGCTACCGTCCTTTCCTCTCTATTACATGCCTCAAACATCTCCCTGTACGTCCTATCTATTTTTCCCAGCTCAGTCACGTACACTTCCCTCTCCTTCTTGTACAACGGACATTCCGCGACTACATGAACACGGTCTTCGCATTCGAAGCCGCAATCACATTTGAACTCGTCGTCTTCGTCGTCTACCGTCCTATGTCATCGTCGACGTTCTCGAAGGCCTATGTCCCCGGTGCTGAATTTGACCATAAGCTTTGTTCCTGAATTCATTGGTCCATGTAGGTCATCCTTAAACCCTATTCCTTCCTTCAACATTCCGTACACTTCTAGACCCTCCTTATCCTTGGATTCTTTCCTCAGATTCTGTTCTTCTCTCTCGGCACAAGCAACAGATATCTTCTCCTTGAACCCCTGTAGACCCTCCGTTTCCAGCGTTTCATCTTCGTCGATGTCGAGCCCCTTCCATACGTCCTCTACAACCTTGACCCATTCCGTGGGTTGTCTACCCCTCTTTTTGTTTGCCCACTTCGCCTCCCATACAATTCTCGGCAACCTCTCCTCTCCCATCCCGCACATGCGATACTGCCATGCTAGCTTCCTCGCGTCTCTTTCGGACCGTAGGGATTGGATCCCCAATTCTGCCCTGACGGCTGCATTACTTGTGCGCTTGAAGCATCCGAGGATGATTTTCGCTGCTTTCATCTGCGCCGCCTCGAGTTTCTTCACTACCTTCTTATTTCCTTCCCATACTTCTCCGGCGTACCNAGCGCCGTGAGATATTCGGCGAGTCGCATGAAGGGTGCGCTGCATCCTGCTAGGGGTTTTCGGCATCTTGTGCTTACTTCCTTGCGTACGGATGACAGCTGCGTATGACTTAATTTACTTTCTGGTGCTTTCACTTCCTGAGACAGTTGTAAGCACTGTGTAACTGCCTCGAGGATGCGTGACCATTTCAACACAACGTGGTGCGATCATCCCCCTCGCGCGGAGTGCGGATTCTCGATCCCGCACAACATGATCTACTCGACCACCATCATGGTTACCGCCAAAAAAAAAACCGAGGTGAAAAAAAAACNTGTAACTGCCTCGAGGATGCGTGACCATTTCAACACAACGTGGTGCGATCATCCCCCTCGCGCGGAGTGCGGATTCTCCACCCCGCACAACATGATCTACTCGACCACCATTATGGTTACCGCCAAAAAAAAAAACGGAGGTAAAAAAAAAAAAAGGGAAACCTGGTTGCCGAGTTCACGAAGTGAATTGGCTTGTTTTACAACGTCGTTGCCAAGCGACGAAAACCCAACCCCGATGGCAAACACCGGGGGGGGCGGCTTGTTTTACAACGTCGTTGCCAAGCGACGAAAACCCAACCCTGATGGCAAATACCGGGGGGGCGGAGAAGCTGGGGAAGCTTCTCAAGCACAACTGACAGTTACACAAATGGCATTATTAACCACACCGCCCTGACCTATTCAATTTTCAATTGTCGACTATTCCACAATAGAAACAGCGGCGGTGCCAAAAGTGGCGGCGTTGGAACCGCCTTGCTGACAGCTTTCCGAAAACGCGTCATCACATGGTTCGTGCATTTTCTTCGTCACGGAGTAATCGAGCGTTGAAAACCGGCTCAAGGGGTGCGGTATGTTACGTATTTTACCTACTGTATTTAGTACCGGTTCGCCCTCCGGATCGCCCCCCATTCCCTCTCTTTCTTTCATTTCTCTCTTTCTCTCTCGAATCCAAGAACCGATTCTACACCTTCAGGCAGTAGGGTAATTGAGTCTACAAGGGTCGCGGGTGGGAACGTCGACTGCATTGGTCGTCACTATAACATGAAAATATGAATCACACCTGAAGGATGGCTGGGTTGAAGTATTACTACACGGCTCCATCGTAGGCGGATCCCCAGACACACAGCCTACCGCTGTCGTCCCACCGTACGTCGAGGTCCAACTCGACCACAAGATTTGCACCAACACTTATTTTTCCTCCCCGCCCAATTCTCCCGTCCACCGACGGCCACGACGCGACTACGCCGGAATGACCCCCGTGAAGTCGGGTACAGGCGGAGCCCGGGACTGCGACCACTGGCACGAGGGCGCAGGCTTCGTGACCGCGCACATCGCCATCACTCTCATGTACGAGCAGACGTTGCAGGCGGTGAACCCGTCCATCGCGCTGCCCTACTGGGACATGACGATCGAGGGGACCTACTACGACTGGAACGACTTCCACACGAGCTCGGTCTTCTCAGACGATTGGTTCGGCGATGCAGCCCCTGGAAACGTGAGACCGGCAGCACCTTCCGCGGGAGTCAATCAACGTTCGCACTTTCCCACAGCCGCAGTTCTTTCACAGGCACAATGCACTACTGCGTGTCTTGGTTCCGACCGCCGCGCTCTAGGATGGCGAAGCATTTCGCCATGTGGAACAATTACACTGTCTCGACTCTCTCCTTCCCAACAACGGTACACCTCAACATAATTCCAGGTGACACGTGGAAACGTGTGTATCTTGCCGTATCAGGGAAGCCTGCAGAGATGCGTTGCCGAGATACTACAAAGAACAACACAATCAACCTGCGGGCACAACACCCCGCCCCGCCTGTCGGACAGTAACCCCGTCTCGAAAGCGAGGCGAGGTGAGCGTACGATTGACCGAAGGCAAGCAACAAACGATTACCCCTGTAACCCCCCGTATCTTCCGAAACGCCATCCATCCATGCAAACCCGCTGCGACGACAGACTGCTAGAACGCTGACCCAGGGGAGGTTCGCGTACGTCCCCGTCATGACCAACGCCCGCGAGTACTCCGCGCAGTACAACTCCTACGGGCTGCTTCGGTCTGCGTGGAACAACGACCGCAACCCCTTCCTCACTCGCCATGACCACCAGCTGGGCATGATGAACAACAAGAAGCCTTCGGGCTGCCGGCGCTACCGCGACGCCTACGTCGCCGACGACTGGTGAGTGTCGCGTTCGGACCGATGCGTGCGTTTTCTATCGTTGGGGACGTACGGGCGATCGGGAGGAAGGATGGGGCACCGATGCAGGAGAGTGCTGCGTGACAAACCTTTTTCAATTCACAAGCTTTCTCGCCGCACAAGAATGTACTGCACAATGTTGGAATCAAGCACCCGAGCAAGTTTGGCACGTTTGGGAGGCGATGTTTGAGAGAAATTCTTTTTTCCACCAGCCAAACAACAAAATGAGATCTAGATGAGTTGCACGCAGTGGTTCTTGGAGGGTTGTAGCTCGTGGAGGCGTGAACGGGGAGCAGGCTGGTGACAATAAGTGCGGCGCCACAAGTGGGACGACCGGCTTCCCTCTGGTTGTGATCAATGTATGTGTAGGACGTGTCCCGCTCCGTCTTCCTTCCTCCACCCCGTCCTCGTTTCGGGTTCTTTGCTGTCACGGGTTGGATTTACAGAGACGCGGGTCCCTCAGTGGGTGTCGAATCAATACATTTTTTGCGTAGATCTTTTGCTTGCCCTTACGTTTCTCCTTTTTTGGTCCCCCTGTCCTGGTCATTCTAAGGATGAAGCTCACGGAAGCCTTCAATGGCGGCGCTCACGGCAACATCCACGGGCTGTTGGGCGGGACGTGGTCTCCCGAGGCGGACGAGTACGCCGCGGTCACGCCGTACATCGTCATCCCCTTCGTTCACCACGCGTACGTGAGAGGAAAAACGAGCGACTGCGGCCGTAGCTGTAATTCAGGAAGCATGTTGTGTAGGTAAATGTGTGTGCATACGTGTATGTATGTATTGTGCTGCGTGGTGACGAGGGGTGGTATGTGTTGAGGATACAATATCGGCGTTGGTGTGGCATGACCGGGGGCAAGTGCGATGAGAAGGGAAGAAAGCGAGGGTCAAGTTGTTATTCGCGGAAAAGAGGAAAACACGTGGTGCGCATGGGCAGGTACACTGCGCGCGGGCACTTTCGTTGTACCTTGGCTGGGGTCGAGACATTTGCTCATTCAAGGTTGCCAAAATATGGAAGGAAAAGGGATGTAGTTTCACCTTTAATGCGATTGCCTGAACACTCCGCGCTTACATATTTTAGTGTATTGCGTTTCAGCCGACGAGTTTCGTCCTCGCTTTGCGTTGTTGCGAAGTCTTACGGCCACCGGCATGTACGATGATGATGAGTGCACCCCCTGGGCTCTGTTGTTCATGTTTTTCCGACGCGCGGCAGATCGCGCAGAAGATCATGTGGCGGGAGAACGCCATCGAGTGCCCAGAGAGCTGCACATTCGATCAGGGTTGGAAAGACTGCCAGTGCCAATGCAGCCAGTCACTCATGGAAGGGAGGACAGCGGCCGAGGTCAGTACCGCGTCGCGTGCTGCTTTTTTGTCTACGTGATGATGTGCGTTTTCGTATCATCCACAGCGAGCGGCTTTGCTTGTTGACTTCGCGACTCGAGTGGTGTATTTCAATGCTGTTGGAGTTTCGATATTTGATTGAAGGCAGATTTTTCAACAGCTTGTAGCCGATCTCTTAGACCGAAAAATCGGCAAACAGAAATGGGACGGAAAATAAAGGTGACTTTTCATCGAGAGTCGTACTGTTTGGCATCAAACGTAACCAACGCAGGGAAACGCGGGACATTACCAAACAACCCCCAAATTTTCTTCCTCCTGTGTGGCCCAAGCTGATCCCCTAACAATGTTTCGGAATGTGTAGAAGGTAATACAACCACAAAACTTACAACAAAACACTATCCCGATACCAACCGAGAATGCCAGAGGGAAATTCTGACCTCCAACAAGCCCACAGGCAGCTGGCGCACTCTTGCTGCAATCAGCTGCACCTTGCGTCACGCCCCTACCCCCCACCGATTTGATCACCCATCCTCCCCTCTCCCTTTCCTTCCCACCCTGAACTGGCACCGTGCCGTCATACAGTTCCTGGAGTTGGGCGATGTCATTGCGACGGGATATTTCTACGATGCGGACTACCAATTAGTCCTCGAGCTGGCTGACTCGGATGTACGTCTCGAGTCTTACCTTTGCCGTGTTGTCCACTTTTTTTGTCGATGCGGGCCACGCTCTACGCGAATACAATGTTTTTCTGAAGGCAAACCTCACCGGCGAAATAGTTCTAATCACTAGTGCGGCACTTCTCCGTGAGAAATGAGCCGCGAGTGCTCCGAACATGTTGGCTCCACGCACATTTGTTTTCTTTAGTTCGTAGCGCCGAGAGGACGTCGACAGTGGTGCGTAAGGACGCCATCTATGCACTCGTTCAGCGCGTTTGTATCGTCGCGTTTTGATTGGCCGATTCCTTCAACTGCAGTTTGACATTCGGCCAAGGTGTTTCACAGATTGTCAATCTTCGTTTCTCTTTTTTATACCGCTTTTCGACCGCTCGTTCTGTCGAGGAAAAATCTTAACCTTAGATGCCGCTTTCCCGTCTGTATGTTGTCAACCATATTGTTGTTGATGTCTTCACGTTAAGAACCGTTCCCATCTCTCTTCCCAACACCTTCTTCTGTCCGTACTGATACCACCCAACTTGATGCGGTCGATTCCTGTGGTCACCGGCATATCGAAATGTTTTCGTCGGGTGTTATGCCTTCTCATTGTTTGCTTTCAACAGGGGCACTACTACGAAGAGATTCCCAGCTACTCCGCCGAGGAGTCCACGGCGATTTACGAGGGGCTGAAAGACGCGCTGTGCATCCCGACAAAAGTCGGCAGCCATTTCGAAGCCACGAGCACCAACGACGTGAGTGCCCACAAGGAACCGCTTCTGCTATCGTACGAACACGAATGAGGGCCTAGCCTACGGAGGAGAAAGGAACAACAGACTACAGTCCTTTACCGTGCTAAACAGTGATACAGCAGGACCTCTCTTGTGTATCCCCGACCAAATTGTGGTGCGAAACTCGTCCTTTTGCATCAAGCTATCCTCCAACCCAGCCAAGCACATACTTCCATGTCGCCAACCACTTGTTGCCCTTTTCTTTCGCCACGAAACCGTCTGCCACAACACATTTAGCTCCATCCGGGGGTCAAGAGTCCAACCTCGTTGATGTTGTTGTTGCTGCTGCGCCAACCGTTTCGCTGTGCTCCTGTTTCGCTTCCATCGTGTGTCCAGGTGACCTTCTGGGTGCTCCACCCTACCTTCGACAGGTGAGCGTAGGAAAAGTTGTTCTGATATGCATGACCTCCGGGAGGCGTTTTGCTTGCCCTGGGGATGTTGCTTCGCGCGCATCAAGGCTGTGTTCTTGTTGGTTTGAGCCTGCCAGAAATGTAATCAACGATCTTGAAAATCGAAAAGGAGTCGTCCGATTGGCGTTGCTCGTGATGTTGACATGAAATAAGCACCGCCCCCCGGTGTTTACCATCGGGGTTGGGTTTTCGTCGCTTGGCAACGACGTTGTAAAACAAGCCTTGTTGACATGAATTAAGCTCCACCCTCCCATCGTTAGTCGCATTTCACACGCAACACTTGTCGGCTATCCCCCAATCAAATGCTGGAGGTGGAGGCCATCTATCTCGAGTAGGAAGTTGACAGTGCCTTGTCACGTGCGGGAAACGCATTCTTGGCCAATGATCAATCTCCTCGAGTTGTACAGCGCCTCCGCCATGCCCGGAACCGCCAAAACGGCACATCTCAACCAATGCTGAACATCGCTTTCCGACCATGAATGGATCAGACTCTGGCACCTCTCGCTCCTGGAACAAAACCCGGGCTTCAACGAGACTTGGATATCGGACTCCACCTGTGTCGGCCATAACGCGGACGACGTCCAGCCCTTCCACGATCTGTTCCTGGAAGAGCACGAGGGGGAGCCTGACGTGGTCGGGTCGGCGGGGGGCGAAAGTGTGGGTCCCCTGAAGGGACACTACACAAACGCGGAGCTGTACGACCTGCTTCACCCGGCGGGAATGCAACTTCCGTACGTGTACGACAACTTCGCGTGGCCACACTGCGACGTGAGTTATGGCTGCCATTCATTGTAGGTGTCATATTTATTTACTGCCGTTTCTCATTGTTGTATTTTGGGGCTTCTGGCGTTGCCAAGCGAGAGCGACCAGAGTACCTCACACGACAAGAGCGTTGAGCGGTGGATTCTGCGTTGTTGAACCTCGGTCGAGCTGATCCCAATCTCGTGGGAGACGGCACCCGCTTGGACCATCAGCATCTGTGTCGGGAAGGAGCGTCTCATGAAAGGCCGAGTCCATGGTCTGTAAACGACGCAACGCACTCGCGGTGAAGCACGCCGACTTTCACAGGGGCCCGTGTATTCAGCGCCAACTCGCTGTTGTCGTCGATTTCATGGAGACACAACGACTTACTCTCGATCTTGCTTTCGTCGTGTTTGACCGATGGCAGGCCCAAGGAGTTTTCATCAACTGACGAATTATGAGGTGACCCTGATGGTTTTCGGGCTTGACCGGAGTTTGTCGCCGATGGCGGCGTTTGGCGTCGCAACGGACTTTCTTGGTTGTTGGGACTTCTATACAAGTCGGCGTACAATGTCGAGTACTGCTGCTGCTTTTGTCCGTTGGTGCTGCTCACTTTATGCATACAGCGTACCCGGTTAGGCAGCATCCACCGCTACTCAATGCCGCAGGGAGCTTCACGCGCCCTGTCGTGGGTAAGGGCGAGCCGTGAGCTACTTCGTTGCCAGCAAGTCTGTCCGCTTGACTGTATCAAACAATCACTCACGGGCGTGCAGTTCAGGCGGAACGCTTGTGTCCAAGTCGACGAGGGACCCGGTTCGGTCATCTCTGATGACCAAACTTGAGTGAAGGCGATGGCGGCGGCATGCGAGTAACGTTGCGTCGACAGCCATGTTTCGTTCGCTCCCAACGCTGGGTAGCATGCATGTAGGCAACAATGATCTTTACCGGGGAAAGTATTAATGGTACCGGAGGGGGTTAAAGAAGACCGGCGGTGCGTGCGACCGGGAAAGGAGGCATGGTTGATGCAGCAGGGGGAGTTAAAAGCGCTTGATCCGTCTTCGAGAGGTGTGTTGTGCCATCGCGGCATGATGCTTGCAGAGACGGGAGTACTGAGAGCCCACCCACCGGGCTGCCAGCGAGCCCTTGTCTGCGTAGTGTACATGTTGCCTTTCGTTGTGCCGTATGCCTGTGTAGGTGGGGAAGGATGGGGTGTGTGTGCTCGTACATGCACTTGGTCTGCATCCTGAACAGTGGGCGGATGAAAGGGAAGCCGTCGAATGGATTTGATTGGATAGGGTGTTTCGTTTTCAAGCGCTTCGGCGGCGCTCTCATGGTGAATGCCCAGTAGGGGGCACCGGAAACTGTTCGAGGTAGGCATCGTCTGTATTCTACTCCGAATGTATTTGGGAAGAGAGGCAACCGTCTTTCGACAGAGGTTGGCACGGTTGTTGGTCCCGTTCAGTAGTGAGGACGATTTATCGATTGTCANAGGGTGTTTCGTTTTCAAGCGCTTCGGCGGCGCTCTCATGGTGAATGCCCAGTAGGGGGCACCGGAAACTGTTCGAGGTAGGCATCGTCTGTATTCTACTCCGAATGTATTTGGGAAGAGAGGCAACCGTCTTTCGACAGAGGTTGGCACGGTTGTTGGTCCCGTTCAGTAGTGAGGACGATTTATCGATTGTCATGCAGTACGTGGTCTAGACGCCGCGCAGGCATGATGTCTCACGTCCGTCTCGATCAGTGTCTCTAACTTTCCATTATTTCCTCTTTGTGATTTGTATTCAATGCATGCATTAGAGCAGCGTTCAAGGTAAATTGTTCAGGTATCAAGTCGTCCGTCGGTATAGGACACACACACATGGTTTTTCGGTTAATAAGGTGTCCTACGGCCGGCGAAGTGTCCGCAAGGTTGATACCCCTCCTTGTGTCGTACATTCAAGTCATCCTAATCGGGGGAGTGTCCTGACAAAGAGTGTCCAAAACTGAGGGATGACTGGAGTGTTGACCTTGAAATACGTTTTTTCCATTCTAAATGCATGTTGTACGGCGCTGTGCACGTTTGATTGTGGAGGTGATTCCTTATGTTTCCGAGGTTTTTGCTCCGTCTTTCACATTTCTGGGCGTGCGTACGTGCGTGCAACCCCATCGGTCAGGGTGCCCTTGCTGCTTCGGTCGGGAAACGGTCGTGTGAATGACTGGGATTAATTCTAGCCCTTCCTCCCCCTGCGTACACTTCTGTTTGTGTGGGGGCTTGATGTTTCCCCCTACAATTCTTTGTCTTGGGTGTTGGTGGTGTGTTTTCGCAAGAAAATACGGTTGCTTCCGATCTCTTGCCCAGTGATGCCGTCATCCACACGGGCCCGACCGATGCGAATGCCTGTCGTCGTTACAAAAGGGCAACTAGTCTACACAAGAGAAGGCCATACACCATCGGTGCAATTCTAAAATCAAGGGGAACCAGAGCATATAAACGTAATTGCGCCATTTGTACAATGCACGAAAAACGAAACAGCAAGGCCCGAGACAGCCAGGCGTCGTGGGCGAAATGTCGGACCATTAGTTGGTTCTGCCAACATTCAGTAGTCACTCTGAAGGGACCTCCACACCGTTGGGCACGAATCGGTCGAGTGCATCAACGGCGATGGAGTCACTTATGTCCTCCTTTGTCGCGGATGGTGGCCGTCCGGTCTCTCCTGCTGTGGCCTGGATGACACATCCTTGGATGCCCTTCCACTATTGGCCGTCCTTTTCATATTGGCCTGAGCATACAGCAAGGAGACTGAGCGGAGGCCTTAAGCTACTTGTTTTGGGGGATACGCACGGGGAAAGACCTGCCGCACACCGGTCGCGCCAGAGGGCACACAAAATAAATGAGTTGCCCCCGCCTTCTCACACCAAGCGATTGTCGCCAATCCAAACGGCACGGGTTCGTGAGAAGGAGGGTCCGTTCAACTCTAGCATGTCAAGCACTGTGCACGATGGTATATGTCGACTTTATCTATGCATCCCATCCCATAGCCTTCCGTCTCACTCGTCGATGAACAAGTTGGTGATAATGTTGCAAAAGGTCTGACTTTCATTCTTTCATACATTGTGTCATTTTCTCCTGTTCGTGAGTCTGCGAACATTGCTGTTGGATACATGTCAATGTGCTGGATGATTTAGTGTCACGCAGACTGGTAAGATAACCGTTTGATAGGGGGCACCGCGATGATTCACGGGCCCCTCCTTGCTGTGGGAGCCGCTCTTTGAGTACTCCCTCTTTCGTCCGTGTGAAGGACGGTCGTCTACCTCCCGTGAAGTTAATACATCACCAAAACAGTCTCACCCGATAAATAAGTGGCGTAGGCCGCAAACACTCTAGAGTTTTTGCCCCTCGAGGGAAGCCACATCGGGATGAGCTCTGCTGGAGACGGAGAGCGCGCTGCTGCGAGCGGAGAACAGATCCGCCCGCCAGTGCAGGAGGGCCGCGACGCGGAGCTTGCAAGTTTGCAACGGCAGATTTCGCAATTGGCGGCCCTGGTGGAGGAGTCGGTGAAGAAGAAGGAGCCTGG